GTCATTCAATTGACACTTTGAACATGAACCAGCAACGAGTGCTTTATCAGGTTGTCTCTTATATCAACTGGTGCTTTATCAGGTTGTCTCTGATATCAAACTTTCTACATGTTGACATTGACCCCAGATCAGGTGTGCCATCAGGGCCAAATGTTGATTAGGTTTAAGAGTTATCTGGGTGTGTTAGCAAAAACCCATGTGTGTATCCTTCTTAATTCTTGGGAGGACGTCCCAAAGGTCAACAAGAACCTTTTATGGCAAGATATTCATGTATGTATACATAAAAGAAATTTGATATACTTTATTCTCTTATAGGTTTATGTCATTAACATGTTCTTTATTTTAAACAACAAAATTATGAAATTCCAAACACTGCTCAGCTTAGAAAGAAAGTGGTGTCCCATGTAACGACCAGATGGAGGGATTTCAAGACAAGACTGACACGTGTATATGTCTTTGGAGACAAACAACATGAAAATCCATGGGAGCACTACAATTTCACACAAGAGGAATGAATGCAGTTTCGTGCATCTAGAGAGTCTGCCGACTGGTAGGTTTGTCTCTTAACATCTACAAAGTCTTTAGTTAATGCATTTTATTATGATTTTACACTTATGAATATACATGGTTTCACAGGGTAAAAGGTTAGCCGCCCAAGAAAGGAAAAGGTTGAATGATGCACCATACATGTTATCACGAGGTGGTTATGCAAAACTTGAAAGAAGATAAGGAAGACTCGAGCGGAGGCCTTAGGACTTGAGTCCCCCGACCTAGCACCTGCACCTGCTAGGTACGACCTATGGAAGGTTGCTCGTACTAAATCTGATGAGAGAATGACATATTTCTCAGCTGCCTTGATCACACAAAAAATTGTAAGTTTAAACCAAAGCACTGTTTGATTGTGTATTTATCATCGCATTTCCCTTCTTACAAAGTTTGTTTTATATGCAGAATGAATTGGTTGAGCAACAAACTAAGGGAACATTTGTTGGCCAAGGTAGGGACGACATTCTAACAACAACCATTGAAAAGCCCGAGCATGCAGGACGTGTACATGGAGTTCCTAGGGCGATTGGTCTTTGTTACTACTTTGGCCATGCACAAGAAAACACTCAATCCATGAGTCAGGAGGCATTGAGGAAGATGGATCTTCAGTGGGAGGAAAGGCTCAACCAAAGCATGAGATCAATGGAGCAACGATTCATGGAGCAACTACAAGAACAAAAAGAAATTCAAAGAGCGCTAGAAAAGAAGTTGCATTCCATGACGCAGCCCACCATAAGGTTGCCCACTGAAGCTCCCACACCACCTAGGGTCAGCACTAGGGGATCATGCTCTGTTGTAGAGCCTACTGAGTAGAGTGGTTAGTATGAGATGTTGGTTTATGGGGATCCCCCATGCATTGTGGCTGTCGGACGAGTACTTGAGGGAGGGCAGACTATTCATGGTGTTCCCTTATTACCCCACCATGTGCATGTGACAATTGACGAGGTTCGGGATCCCCAGACTTAGGTGCCTGTACCCACTTTAGAAATTCATTTTGTGGGGGAGGCCATATGAACATTTATAGTTTGGCCTAAAGCATTGATCATGTCACACATTGCTACACCACAGGTATAATATTTTTATTATTAGTCTTTGTATGTTAAATTTAAAAATATTTATTGATAACTTTGAAATTTTTATGTTCAGTTCATATGTCCCCACAAGCAGCTGATGCATGAGCCTATTACACTAAAATGATAAAACTAAATAGTCGAGCATTTAGATCATTCAATAACTAGTAAAATAAATTAGAACTATAAATAACTTACAACATTTGGATACAGGACGAATACTAGCTGACCTCGGTTTTTACCCATTACTCTATTTACATTGAAAACACAAGGTAATATTAATATAACTATATTTATCATAAAATGCGAAGGTCAAAATGAATTTGAAACATAAAAAGAGAAACACTTACCCTTGAAGCATGTTTCTCAAGTCATTTTTCATCTTCCTGTGCAGCGAACAAAACCATACAATTTTACATTGTTTGGGAATGATGAACATCAGTTGCCAATGAGACCTATCATGATTCATAAATAGTTAGTAAACTAATTAAGAAAACTTTAATGAAATTTTACATAAAGCAACCCATACCCATCAATGTATGGCACAAAGTATATGTCTCTGTTTGACTCGGCCATCCATGTTTACAAATACTTTTGTTTGCTCTCAATTGTGTTATCAAAAGATTGGATGGTCTGAGGTTCAACAAATCCGTACATGGAAGACCGACCTTGGTCCACAATGACTGTGTCCATGTACCTAAAACAACAAAGTTAAGTTGTTAGAAACTAAGAATGTAAATAAGTTTAATATAGAAGACAAAATTAACTATCTTACATGCACCATAATTGAAGGATGGAAATATTCAACATCCTGTCTCCCCAATGATCTCTAGTGCATCATTGAATGTGATATATACTAGGACATGGGGGGATGCCAAATACTCTATTATCCCAGTACACTTTTACTGGTCCTCTGTTCAACCTGGGTAATTTTTTCATGAGCTTTGCTAGAGGATCATCCTCCGCTTCAGCCAGGTCATCATCTTCATCTATGACTCAAGCAGCTAGATTCATGGGAATGTGGCTACTATGTCATGTCTTGGATTAATACCATCATTCGAGCTGTCAGTACAGATGACTGGAATGAGGTAATGATGCTTAACTTATTTAGATTCTTAGTTTTTAACAACTTAACTTTGTTGTAAGATAGGTACATAATGCATCTTTTTTCATTTTGCAGCGCTTCAAGAGTACATCTGTTATACCAGAGGACGCAATTAAGAAGATAAGACAAAAGTGGACAACTTATCTTCTGCAAAGATGGACTTAGATAGGAAGATTTATTATTGTAGTTCAACATATTTAGATTTAGTTTAACTTTAACTTTTGATAGTTTAGGTTTTGGATTGTTTTTTAGCACTTTGTTAACTTCAAACGAGTTGATATATAATATTATAATGTTCTAGGACAATTTTCTGCTTTTCAGGTGTGATTTTATTGCAAAAATAAATAAATTTTCTTAAAAAAAATACTCTCTAGATGTGTGTTAATGCCACATTGGATGTCTATAGGCGTATGTCAGTGTATACAGAGACATCCAATGAATTACAGAGGCCAAACTCGTTCCAAGGACTTAGACGTCAAACCTGTTTAGTCGGACATATATATAAACGTCCGACCCCTACACAGGTCAGATCATATAGACGTCCGACTAAACAGGTCAGGCGTCACATCAACGTTACCTATATAGACGTCCGATACGGGTTGAACGTAAAAAGATCAAAATAACGGACGTCTAAAGTGATTTTTGCTCTAGTGAATATTTATAATCCATTAAACAACTATATTTAAAATATTTTATAATTAATTATATGGACAAGATAGTTACTTATATTTGTCCCTTCCCACTTTTTACTACAAAAGTTCAGTCATTTAATAACTTTTCTCTCTTTTCAATACCAACCATGTCACTTCCTTTTTATTTATTTTTTCTTTCTTGTAAACCAGTAAAAGATAAAATTTAATATATTTTTCAACTGGAATCATTGACTCTTGATTCTTCTTTGATTGTGTACGTGGGTTTGAACAATTGGTTAAAGACATGGTAAGAACTTCAATTTTTTCCATGGTATGGATTTGAATTTATTGAAATTACTTATACAATATTAAGTGATTATATTTGGTACGTTAATATGAAAATAAAAGAGAAAAACTTCCCTAACTGATTTCTGACGTACAAAAATTAATAAATATTATGACTTAAAAAGGAGAAAACACTTTTTCCAAAAAGAGGAAAATATAATTCACTAAAATGAGATATTCACACATAGTGAAATTCCTAACAATTTCTTTGTCCGTCATACTTTAACAGAGAAGGAATCTATAATCACTGTCACAATTGTACTTTGAACAGGTCAACATTTGGAAAGTAACATGAAAATATCTCCAACTAACATAATTCAAAAGAGAAAAAAAAGTATACACTTTTTTCTAGTTCACTTGCGAGATATGTCATGCTTACATGCTTAAGGTACAAACATGGCTGAAAAGTTCATCAAGCAACTGAATTGGCAAAGAAAAAATGCTATCATTAGTGCTCAACGTTTACTTAAGTAGGTTAATTAGTACCCTAAAAGAGAGAATTGTAAAGAAACTAATAAAGAGAAGATTAGTTTTAGTAGTATGAAGTTCTTGTGGAATATTATATGATCTGAGAATCGAATCTTTAAACCACTTTTGAGCCAAATCAAATCATGCCAAATCATAAAACACTTTTCTAAAAAAAATGAAAAAGAGGAAGACGGTGGTAGATCCACCATAACTTTTTTTCTCTTTTCTTAGTGTTTTCTATTATTCTCGTTTTGAAAACTGACGGGTATATCCATTTGAAAGTTGGGATAAATATATCAGGATGATCAACGACAACCATAGATCACACACCTTGGAAATAGGTAAAGGAGAAAGACAAGAACAAGAGATGTTAAGGTTTAATCATTAAACTAATCCTGTTTTGTTACTTTGACGGTTACAAAAAAACTATAAAGTTTAGTGGTTAAACTAATATATTTAATGTAATTTGATCTCTGTCTTCGTTGTCTTTCAAAGTTGTTCATATAAAGATTAAAATTTACAATATTTTCTACAGGTAAGATCAAAATACTAAAGTCAGATGTAAAAGAGTATATCAAATTAACAGTTAATAACAAGCCTGGACCTGAAGACACATAAAACTCCAAAATTGTTTTTCTTTTTTATATATTTGAAACATGGAATGAATTTTATATTGAAATTAGAATCAGGGTGCTTGATTTTTTTATTTTTTGTTTTATGTGTAGAAGTTGTGTAGGATGTGAGAGAGATAATTTGAATGGATAAATACAAGAAACAATGTTTGAAGTTGAAAATAAATGTACAGTGGGCTTAGATATTTTGGAAGATATTTTCGGTTTGAGATCTTTTCGGAGCAACTTCAGTGTCTCTTCACAAAGCGACCCTACAACAAAAATATCGGAAAAGCTGCTTTCATAACAAAACAAACAAAATGAGCATACTGCAAAACCAAAAAGAAACACAAAATTCAAAAGTGAAACCTTGATTCTTGGTCTTTTATCAGCGTTTAGTTTCCGAACTTGGTATCTTATCTTCTTTGAGAACAATCTGTTCTGACGTTTCTCTTTGTATCTAAGAACACTTGCTTCCCTTCTCGCTCTCTCTTCTTCCAACACTGGCACTTCTCCATTCTAAACAACAATTATATCATTCATGGCTACTCTCTCTATGTATATATCTATATATTACCAAACACAAACTGAACGAAAATATCTATTCTAGATAGCAAAACTATAACGTTGGACTTATCCAAAAATAGACATACCCTAAAACTCTCTGTTAATTACTAGAATAAAGTAAAACTATGAGTACCCAAAAGAATTTCAATCACTGCATATCAACAAATCTTCCAAAAAACCAGTTCATATATATCAGACACTAAAAGAATTGAAGATATGCAACTTATTAATTGCAGAGATGCATTTGAGTAAGCAGAAATATGATAGAGGAAGAAATGGATGGTAAATACTAACATAGTAAGCATTGTTGGTTTCCAAGGAAAGAGAACAGTCATCAGCCCAAAGAGAGCCTCGGTTAGACCATGCATCCAAAACCTCTTGATAGTTCAAGTTCAAGTTCAAAGCCATCATCTTCTCATCATCCATTTCCCAAAACCCAACAATGTTTTCTCTCTTTATCTGCTTCTCCTCAAAAGGGTACTGCCTCATGCTCTCTGTTACCTGCTCTTTTCCTTCGTTTTCGTCTTCTCCTTCCTCTTCAATGCGAGCAAATTCCTCCCATTCCATGAAATCCCAATGGAATTCGCCACTCGAAGAGTCTTGTTGCAGTAAGTTTTGTTCCTCTTTGGAGTTGAAGACCCCTTCCATTTCGTCCAAAATATTGAAATCTTCATAGCTGTAAGATTGGTTAGAATTTGGTAATAAAGAATTGATAGCATCTGGTACCTCTTGTTCTTCTTTCTTGGGGCTTCTGAGTACTGAATTACATCCCATCTTATCTCTACCAAGTTTCTCTCTCTTTCTCTCTCACTCTCTCACTCTCTCTCTTTCTCTCACCTTTGGACTTTGTAATTGCATAATAATAATAATGCATGTGCTCCTACCATAGCACGTTATGTAACCATCAATAGTCTGAAGTACGCATGTTATTTAGTGGGAACAATCACAATGAAATAATTGACCTTCTATCCCTTCATTTTTTCCAATTTTTTTAATCCTTGATTACTTGCATATTCTTTAAGTTTAATCCTCTCACTAAACTTTTATTTGCTTAATTTTTGCATACATCTTCTTAACTCATTTTAACTCATTTTAATTCATACTGTTTCAGTTATTGGGGCTAAGTGTAACACCCCGATTTAGGCGTTACAATTTATTTTCCACAAAATACATATGTAATTCGTCTTTAACAAATTTCAACACCCATAAAATATTAAGTTCTTTATTACAGCACAA